TGGACAGAGCAAAAATAACCCTTTGTGATAAAACAAACAAACTAAGCCCTACAAATTCCTTGCTGTTTGTTTTTAAATAATTATAGAAATATGAACTTAATTATAATATATGCCCATAAAATTAAAGTATGTAATGGCATTACGTGCGATTTTTTTTTGGGGGGGGGGAGTTCTACAGGCTACTGTGTTGTTTAGTAATCGATATATTTAAATGCTAATAGATGATATTTTTTTCAGGGAATGTTGTTATATCACACCAGCTTAAGTTTTATGCAGTGTGGCAAAGATATTTGTTGCTTCTTTCTATCATATTGTTTTTCAAGTGTTTGGAAGATCAAATCTATCTGCTCATACTTAGTACTTATTTTGCCCATATTGACTAGGCTTAGCTTCGAAAAATTTGAGTTTACCAAACTTTGGAAATTGTGTTAGATCTTTAAAAACAAAATTTTAGAGATATTTAAGAGGATGAAAGTTAGTTAGTTCTTGGAAACCTAACGAGTTTCTATTTAAGAGTTTTGATCAGAACTATGTAATTCTTTGTCAGAGAGTTACGAGATTATTTTTCTTCTTTACTTCTGTTTATGCTCATTATTTTGACTAATCTAAAACAAAATGTAGGCAGGCAACAGTATTACCGACTTTAATAACAGGAATAAATGGAACATCAACAAATTATTGTTTTATAATTGTTGTAATTTTCTCAGTAAATCATAGAATCTTATCTCTTGATAAGTCTCTAAACAAATAACTCGGCAAAGAATGGACACGTATTAACATTTGGTACGTACCGATGTTCATTAAAATACCTAAGTAGAGCGACTGGTGCGACATCTATAGCTAAAAATATAATACAAATGAATATTTACGTTTACATGTTCCGTAATAGTCAACATGAACATGCTCGTATTTCGTTTTGGCACATGTTTTATAGTTGTTCATACACCAACACTTCATCTGATATAACTCACAGTCGCTATTCCAGGTCTCGTTTTGATTACTACACACCTGTAAAAAAAAAAAAAAGCAGTAAAAAATAAATCAAACAAGGAATACAATAATAAACTAATGGTGATAAATTATATTCCTCGTGTCTCTGAAAACTGGCATGGTTCTAAGTGGTTACTCGTTCGCATACATAAATTAGTAGAGGAACAATTAATTGAATCTTTGTTCATTTTTCGCCTAAAATTTTTATGTGCTCTTACAGTGTATGATTAGGTCACGAGAATTGACCTTGTTAAAATAAGTGTTAAAGAAATTAAATTGCATGCATTTAGAATGTATTGTTTGTTTGTTTGTTTG